TTTAGTAGAAAAATAAATACAAATCAGTCTCATGAAAGGAAAAGAACTTTGAGTTATGGAAGTCTATTATAATTCTACTTTATAGGAAGATTTTTCTAAAGATACCAATGTGTATATCAATTGGACATCTATAAGAAGTCGGATTCCTACAATTATGGTGTTTGTTTCTTGCCCAATTCTGTTACTATTCATTTTACAAAAGATGTGGCATAGGATTGGCAAAGAATGTGAATTCAAGGGCTTATACTATCTCCACTCTTCCTCTCTAACATGTTCTGCAGCAATCTCACTCTCTAAATTCATTGTCATTTAGGTCATTTGTTTTTAGAGAAATTAAAAGAGCTAGTTCCTAACTTGGCATATTATCAAATCTTGGATGTGAGATTGATCAGATTGAGAAACATCACCATGTTCCTTTTATTTATCGTGTTAATAGAGGAGTTCGGGCTTTCATGTTGGTTCACTTCGATGTAGGATTGCAATCCTACACTTATTGGTCTAAGTTAGGTTTTGGTTCTTTTTTGTCTTCTTGTTGATTTTTCAAGAATGATATGCTTCATTTAATGAAAAACCGTTCAGACTTATTATCCACATCTTGCTGATTCTGTTATGAAATCCAAACTCAATTTCATATATCAATATGTATTTTCAGAAGTAACAATTCAAAATGATATTTTTCAAAGCCATTGATGAAAATAATTGCTCAGTGTGGGATGATCTATCAGTCCTTTTGTGCAGACACTACTTAACGACATGGCATCAGTAAGTGGAAAAGTCTAGTAATGACATGAACGTGCCAGTATGTTGTTCTTAATGTATATCATCTTCTTTCCTTCAAGCCTAGGTTCTCCATAACGTGTTGTTGGTTGTGTTTGTTTTTCATCAAGTATAATCTGGTGGTCATAAGTTAGATTTGGAAGCTCTTAAAGTTATTTTCCTTGGGTGCTCTCATTCTCGGAAAGGCTATTAACGTAAGCCTAAGCAACAATAATTTTAGAAAGACTATCAATGTCGTAAGTCTGAACAACATCAATTCTTTACATGTGTTGATTCCATTTGTTCTTGTGTCTACTCCTTTCTTCACTGAGTCGCTTATTATGATTGATCTATATTATTTTCTTCCTTTACTGTCTTTTGTTCTAAATGAAATGTATCTATTGTCACTTAAGTTTCAAATTCTAATCCTGCTAGTCGTTCAGGTTATCCCAATTTGTAGGATTAGAATGCCCTCAAGTCTATTGTGTATTAATCATCCCTTTATCCTCTATTACAATTCCTAAGTTTGTGAAAGAATCCCTTTCTCATCCTAATTGAAGAAGGGCAATGGAAGGAGAGATGTGCGCTAAAGGCAAATAATATTTCAGATTGGTGAGTCTTCCTAGCTTCAGGGTTTTCAAAACAAAGTTAAGGGGTGGTGGGATGAGAAGCCTGTGGAGGATCTTGCTAGCTTCAGGGGTGCCACGAAGTTAAAGCATGTTAAAGAAAAGATTAAAGAGTAGTTTAGGGCCAAGTATAGGCTACAAGAGCTCGAAAAAGATTGTCTATTAAAAGAAGATGGAAAAACTCGCTTAAGAGGAGGGACATATTAGTTTATCTGAGGAGGACATTGATAGAAGGGCCAAAACTCATGTGGAGCTTGCTAACATCTTCCTAATATAGGAGATCGAGTGGAGGCAAAAGTCAAGAGTGTTGTGGATCAAAGAGGGGGACAAGAACACCAAATTCTTCTATAGCATGGCTATTTACTATAGAAGATTTAACTATGTGGAGGAGATGGAAATTAATAGCAAGTCATTAATGGGAACAAAGAGCTTAGGAAATGGGCTCGAGACAATTACAGGCAATTGTACTTGGAAGAATTGCCTTGGAGACCTACATTGGATGAGTAGTTTTCAACATCCTGGTCCTGGTGAGAAGGCTCAGTTAAGTGATTGATAAGGTAGTCGGGTAGAGCCAACATGCCTTTATTGAACAAAGGCAAATCTTTGATGCCGTGTTGATTGCGAATGAAGTTGCGGGCTACTTATTGAGGATAGAGTGGAAGGGAAGATTTGTAAACTAGACTTGGAAAAGGCCTTTAATCATATTTCTTGGAGCTTTTTGATTTGTGTTGCATAGAATGGGTCTTGGCTCCAAGTAGTGTTCGTGGATCAAGTCTCATGCATCTTTTTTGTGTCTTTTGCTGTTATGGTTAATGACGGCCCTTCTAATTTTTTTAAGGTATTGAGAGGCCTTGGACAGGGAGGTCTGTTCTCTCCTTTCCTCTTCATTATCGTAGTGGAGGCCTTAACCGGATTACCCATAAAGGATAGAGAGAACCAATTCTTCAGGGGATTGCGATGGATGAAGATGGTGAATCATGGTAGGTCACACTTTTATTTTTTGCTGATGACACGCTCCTATTCTGTGAGCTTGATTGGCAACCCCTTCTGAATACTAGATGCATACTTCTCTACTTCCAAACTGTTTATGGCTTAAAATTAAGATGTCCAAAACTGAACTGTTCCAATTAGGGGAAAGAAGTGACTCTAATAGCCTGATCACTATTGTAGGGTGTAGAGTGACTAATTTTCCTATGAAGTACTTGGGACTTCCCGTGGGCACCAAACACGAAAAAATCTCCATTTGGGATCCCATCATTAACAAGTTTGGAGCTATACTAGTGGGTTAAAAAAGGAACTATCTGTCTAATAGGGGAAAACTGACTCTTAACAAGAATACACTCTAATTTAACAATCCATTTGGTATCCCTCCTGACTATTTCCGCCAATGTGGTAAGACAATTAAAAACTATTCCACACAAATTCTCTAGGGTAACATGGGTGACAGGAAGAACTTTCATCTTGTCACATGGAAATCAGTTAATGAACAAATCCATACAGGCGGTCAGGTATCAAGTTGATGTTTGAGATGAATAAAGCTTACAAAGGAAGTGATTCTGGAGATTCACGAAAGAAAGATATAGTATGTGGAGACAGGTGATCAGAGCTAAGTTTGGCACTGATAGTATGGGGTGGTTTACTCAGTCTTCATCTAGATTTCATGGAATCAGTGTTGGCATAGAAGGGATGAGTTTCAGGAAGTTGTAGCTCGGAAGACCATATCAGCGTGTAGAGTGAGGTTTTGGCTGGATGATTGAATGGGGAATGGTTTCTTAAGGCATGATAGTATGGGGAGATTTACTCAGCATTCATTTAGATTTAACGGAGTCAGCATTGGCATGGAAGGGATGAGTTTCAGGAAATTGTAGCTTGGAAGATTAGTTCAGGACATAGAGTAAGGTTTTGGTTTGACGATTGGGTGGGGGGTGGTTTCTTAAGGCATGACTTCCCTACTATCTTTTCTTTTTGGCATGCAACAAGGAAGCTACGGTTGCCTGTTCCTTTTCCAACTCGAATGGGAATGGTTCATGGGCTGTTGAGTTGGTAAGGAATCTAAATGATTGGAAAATTGACGACTATGTTGCTTTGCTCCAGTGCCTGATCCAGTGGCAAAGACTGACAGATGATTTGGATGAACTGTTCTGAAAATTGGAATCATAATGGAATATTCATGATTAAGCCCTACTGGAATCATTTGACAGCTTGTGACTTCATTATTAAAAACTTCCTATGGAAACTGATTTGGAAAATCAAAGCTTCTCCTAGAATTGTGTTCTTTGCGTGGGAGGCAGCGTTTGGATGCATTCTCACTACAGGTAACTTGATCAAGAGGGGAAATATCATTGTGGATAGATATATTTATGCAAAAGAGCAGCAAAATCGGTCAACCACATTTCATATGTTGTTTTATCTCCTACCAGTTATGCTCTTTCGCTTATATTCTCTCGGGTTGAATAGAGCCATGGTCGGTTCAGTAAAGAAAGAAATTTGGACTTGGAAGGGCATTCATGGGGATAAGAGTTACAACATGAATCTTGACGTTATTCCTTTGGCCACCTTTTAGTTCATATGGAAAGAAATGAATGTAAGAGCTTTTAAGGGCATGGAATAGTCTTTTGATAGATTGAATGATTTATAATTTCAGACCCTAACATTTTTTATTAGGATTCATCCCCTCTACTCTTGTGAGGATTTGGGGGACTTGATTGACTTGCTGACAAAATTGTAATGTTTTTGTATACAGGTTGCATCCTCTTGGCGGTTTTAATACATTTATATTTCACAAAATCTTGTTGCTGGGTGTGTTGGGTTTTCACTCTTAAGGGTTGAACCCGTTTTCCTGAGCTTGGTTTGGAAAGTTAGTGAAGTTGTGATAGAGTTTGGTTTATGTTCAAGTCAAGTTGGTAGTCTGTTTTCTGTTGTCATTCTCTAGCTAGAAAATCATGCATTATTGTGTAGGTTGATGATATTGTAATTACAAGTGAAGATAGTAAGTGTTGACTATCGCCATTCTATGAATTTTTTGTTACAACTCCAGAATCACTACTTTAATTTTATGTTACTAATATCTCTCCCATTAAGGTGTAGATATTTCTTTTACTATCACAATTCTATGAATGTTTGGTTATAACTCCAGAATCACTACTTCCAATTTATGTTATTAGTATCTCTCCTGTTACTTCGTAGATATTTCTTTTTCATTCTTGTAATAACTTATGTTATTAGTTGCTCCTTCTATGTAGGTTCTTCTTCTTTTTCTTCTTCTTCTTCTAGTATCTATCCCATGAAGGTGTTGATATTTCTTTTTAATTCTTGTAATAATTTATGTTATTAGTAGCTCCTACTTTGAATAAGCTGTTTTCATGAGAATGAAATATATTGAGCTTGATTGTCATTTTATTTGTGAAAAGCTTTTACAAATTGTGTTTTGGACTATATGAAGTAAACAAACCAACTAGCTAAGTCCTTTGAAGGAGCTCATCTGTTATTCATTTGTAACAAGTTTTTGTTCATATGATTTACATGCTCGAGCTTGAGAGTGAGTGGTTCAATATGATACATATTTCCTTCCTTGTCTTCTTGCCATAGAGATTAGTATAAGTACAGTAAGTTTTCTCTGATACATAATGAGTCAATATTTTTCCTGCACCAACAGTAAATACTTCAAAACTTTATAAAAATTTAGCACTATATGCTATCAGGTTGAATGTGCATCTTTAAATCAAGAATTGCAAGATATGGAAGCCCGTGCTCGACGTGGACAGAAGAAGTCTACAGAAGAAGCAAACCAAATAATTCAGGTAAATAATACATTTCTATGATACTGACACTTTTGGCTGCATTACTTTTCAGGTAAGAACAGACTGTTTAATTTCCTTCCTTGCATTGGTAGTCTCTTATGAATCCGTCATATTTCTAAAATCTAATAATTTGAAGTGTTTTGATATAAATAATACAATTGGATCATTCTTGAGCTTTAGAATAATTGTAACTGAATTATTTCACTTGATTTTTGTATGGGCTTATGAAGGGCCTACCTCCCTTTCTTGGAACAGTACTATGTTTTGGTACCATATTAAATAATTAGTTGACTTATCAATTGTCCTAAAAACTAAACTGATAGATAATTGTCTAATCTTATTATTTATATTCTAACATAAAAAAGTTTGTGGCTGCATGTTGTGAAGTTTGCTTTCTCGCTTTCTGTTAATTTTTTTTTGTTTATAGAAGAATAGATGGTTGTTTCTGAGACATTTAATTGTTTGTCAAAATTATTAGAGATTGAACTTTTGGAATGAGTGAAGGGGTGCAAAAATCAAATCCATGTGTTTGTCATGAGCAGTCCAATAGCACAAAAAAAAATTGCCTTCTCTGAGTTTTCATTCGTTTTTTCTGACATTTTATCCAGAAAGATTCTTGCATATTTTCTGTTATCTTTCATGGTCAAGTGAGTGATGAGCAGTGAAATTTCATGGTGTACAAAAAGAATCAAAGGCATAGGTTTAAATTTGTTGGTGGCAGATAGCTAATTATCTGTCCTTCTCACGATTGCAATTAATGGACTCTTTCATTACAAACTCTAGGAGCCTTGTCTTTTTGGGGTATGAGTATCTCATACCTAATTGACACTTCTTCATATGCTGTTTAAACTTGCCACATGTTGAGGCTAATCACCTATAAATTTTAATAGTGCTAAAGTTATTAGTTATTGACTTACAGGTGGTCTAGTTTTGTGGACAAAATCTTTTCAACATTACTAATTTTCAGTGTCATCTCTCATCAGATACAGGCTTGGCAGGAAGAAGTAGAGCGTGCCCGCCAAGGTCAAAGAGATGCTGAAAGCAAACTTTCTTTATTAGAGGCAAGTCTAAATTTAGTTTATCATCATAATCATTTTATATTATCTGTGTTGTACAATTGGTTAGTTTATAGCTTGTTTTGTAATTTCTGCTAATGATTCTAAAATTTGTTTGATTGCAGGCTGAAATGCAAAAGATAAGAGTTGAAATGGCTGCAATGAAGAGGGATGCTGAGCACTACTCACGTCAGGTGATGTCTCTGATTTAGCTGGTCTTTTTCCTTATTAAATGGATGCAAATGGTCTGTGTGTGGATTAAAAGGCACCAATATCCAAGGAGGGATACGGAGTTTTTTATTCTGTAGCTGAGATCACTTAAAACGTTCTGCATGATCATAAACATGGGGAGATTCTATGCATGCTAAATGAAAATTTTAAAGCTTGTTGTAGGAGTAACTTAAACTATCTACTCCTGTTTTGACTAAGTTATACTTCTTTTGTGTTGTTCCAGAATAATTTTAACTTGAAAATTTATGCTACTTTCCTTTGTGGTGGTTGTGGATTTCAAGTATGTTTGATTTCATGAGGCTAAAAATCCCCTAGAAACTTAGCTTATATTAGTTCTGATAATGGATGCGAGCTATTGCCAAGAGGGCCTACCATGTTATATATGTAAAGATCTGCAGGAAACAAAGAAATTAACTGTGTAATTATCCCTTGAAACATTAAATGAACATATAACTGAATACTAAGGTTGCCATACAGAAAGATAAAATAAATCTAAGACATTAATGTTTTGTATGAAAAATTTTCAGAGCTAGAAGATCTAGTCTGCTGTGTCCTTGTATATTATTCAGTGTTGGGTTTATGCAATTTATCCCACTGCTTAATAATTTTAGCTGCTTCTGTCAGGAGCATATGGAGCTAGAGAAACGCTATCGTGAACTGACTGATTTATTGGTAAAGTGAGCTCATCCACACTTGTAGACGTAGTAAAACCCTGTGCTAATTCATGTAGCTACCATGGCGCAGTACTACAAGCAAACACAACTAGAAGCCATGGCTAGTGAAAAAGCTGCAGCAGAGTTTCAATTGGAGAAGGAAGTAAAGCGTCTTCAAGAAGCACAGGTGCATAGTTAGATCTTATTTGCTGATTGATTGAAAGTGCTTTTATTTCTTTGTTTTATAGTCCTAGATCCTGTAATCGAAAATGTATATTTTGGCAATTTCTATTATGTTTAACAGGTAGAGGTGGAAAGAAGTAGAGTTTCCAGGCGTGCGTCATCATCATGGGAAGAGGACACTGAAATTAAGGCACTCGAGTATGTTTTCTTTTTTTGTTTTTGATAGAAGAAGAAACTTCATTGAGCATAGAGGGAAAACATATACAAAAGTGAAGAATAAGACATCTTCCTAAGCATGTCAAACTATAGTAATCAAACAAATATAAGAGAGATTCATAAAACATCAAACAAACATGTGGGCTCTTAAGGGCCAAAGATAATATTCTCCCAATTCAATTGGTGGTCAGAAGTAGCTATATCATAGTTGTACCAGTGTCTTGGCTCGTAATATTACCAAGAAAGTTGTTCTCTCTCATGGCTCATAGAAGGAGATATACTGATCCTTGAAAGTTTTCCGATTCCTTGTAAGCCATAAGATCCATAGACATGAGAAAATTGTCCATTGCCACAGTAGTTCCGCTTCCTTTCTCACCCCATTCCTCTTTGTGTATGCACCTAAGAAGCTCCCAAGGAGTGACCCACTTGACACCGAACAAGCTAAACACGTCCAAATCTTCTAAACTATCTTGCAATGTAATAAATAAATGGGAGCGTCTCTCTCCTCATTTATAATACGTGGCATAGATATCTGGAGATAGCGCGTGGCAAGGACAAAGAACTTGTAGCATCTCGTCCATGTTGATCCTCTAATGCACGGCTATCCATATAAACACCTTTTCTTGTGACAGAATTAGCGCTTTTGAAAATACCTAGGCAATATGAAGTTGGCTACAGGGATGATTTTTAATGAGGAAATCAAAAAAGGACTTTAAAAGTTTATAATCATGGCGGTTCCAATGACCAAATTCTAGGGTCAGGCTGAGATGATAGTTGAATCAGTTCTAACCGGCCCAATAGATTTTTTATTTCAGGGGTCTCCCTGTCCAATAAGTTGTGGGTGATATAGACATTTCAGGCTCCATTGCCCTCACTATCGAAAATTAATCCAAAATTTGGGGGTATTATGTTTGGATGATAGGTTAAACAACTGAGAAAATTGTGTGGCTAAGGAAGTGTCGAAGTCATTTAGCCAATAAGGATAAGTTCTTAGATCTAAGATTCCCAATTTCCAATCTTCCTGAACTCTTTGACTAACAACACACCGTCCAACTAACTAAACAGTCCCAATCTTCATTCCCCATTCATGTTCATAGAAATCTCCTCATGTATCCCTCCAATCTCTCTACTACCTTGTGGTGGGTATTCTAAATAAGGACAAAAAATAAGTGGTATCGTAGATAGGCATGCCTGGATCAAGATAACCCTACCTCCTAGCGAAAATATCTCTCTCTCACTCTCTAACTCTATAACCTCTT